TATATGTACAAGTTGCACTGTACGTGTCGCTGCACTTCCATTCGCATATATATATATGTTTAAATAATGTATTATATAAATACCATAATTGGAAGGCCGCCAGAACCAATCGTGCGACGAGCGTGATTCTTCAGAGGGCTCCACAGGACGTCCTGTACAGCGTCCCGAGGGAAAAGGTCGAAGCTGAGTTGGTTGATTGACTTGCCAGAGAAAAAGGTCTCCCTCACGTCAGTCCCTTCATGCAATAGCTTCTGCTCAAAGTCATAAACTTATTCTCCAAGATATCCTGGCCTATGGTCGCCGCATGACTGAGCCTTCACGCATCACAGCTTGCGCTGGTTGCGCTGTCGCTGACACATGCTGGTCACAATGTCTTTAACTTTCGGCATGAAACCATCGAAGTTCACGATGCAATTGAGAACCTTCACACAGGGATTTCAGGGAAGGCTGTGAGAACTGAGGCGAAAGGCTGGTGTGTAGTTCTTGGGTGCTCAAACACGGCCCTGATTGGCAAACTCTCTTGGTATTGATGGTTGGCACTGTGGCTTTATATGGCTTTATGCTGTGATGAGGGTGCAACACATGCCTCATTGGCTTATCAAGTTCAGATCCCTGAGGGTCGACATGTTCCCCGTGCATGCCGAAAAATAGGCCAGCTTCGACGTCCGACTTCGTCAACGCTTTCAACACTTTTAACTGGCAAAAGCCTTGACAAAGCTGGACCCACCTCAAGCCACAATTACAAGGTGTTACCACCTGTTCTAACCCTTTCATGTCGAAGAAAGAGCGAACCAACACTGCCTCTTCACCGATGTATTCGCAATGCGTTGTGACGCATCCTTGGCAAGGTGTTCCCCTGCGGAAAAGCTGAATACATTTCGTCCTCGCTGGATCGTTAAAACATCAAGGCAAGCCTTTGCGACAATCAGGTCCACCAGTTTGTTCCCCTGCCGTGCTTTCCAGTGTACCACGCAGGGTGTACCGCGCCTGAACCCATTAACAGTACTTCCTCTGATGTTGCCAGAGATGGCGCCCCCTATAGGGACGTCTGAAGTATACTATAAAGTAAGATCCCCGAGGCCTAATCAAAACTTCAGACGGAGATCGCGAGGCTGAGGTACCTGAGTTGACCTACAAACAGTTGACGTACCTGGTGGACACCCCTTTACCGCTTCACTTGGACACCCGTGCGGTGGTTCGGTGGCTGTGTGGGGCAGCGCAGGTGCCTCCTTGTGTCTCAGCAGGTCCTTCCTGGAACCGATCACTGCTTGCGCCCTTGGTCTGGTGACTGTCGCTGTGGACGCTCTGCATAGTCACGTGTTCATGTCCAACTCGGAAGAAAGGGCTATTGGCAACTGACCTAAGTATTCATGGACCTGTTCCTGGCGCGCTGCTTGTGTTAACTAAGATTCCATGATCTGGATTCAGGACTCGACCGACTTGGGTGTCAGATTTCAGGGATGAATGCTGATTACACTCCGACTCACTAAGACAGAAGTGGGACACCCCTTTTCATAAAGGAAAGTCGTCTTCCAAGGGACCATACCATCCACTTCCATGTTGGTGAATTAGAGTGTAACTGTTCTCCCTGACAGTCCATGGTCTTACTTGGTATAGGTCTTAGAGTTTTCTACAGAAAGTTGATGAAAGTGGTATATCAGGTATCAACAGTAACGAGTCAGAAACGTGCATGAATCGATCATGCACTTGCACGACCGGCCTCAAAGGAACGCTACACACATCGAAACATCTGAGTTTCTACTTGCACCCTCCAGTTCGTAAACTCGCTTCTTTTAGGCCCTAAGGCCGGCACTCACGGGTGGTTCACCTGCTAAAAACAGGTACCATTCGTACTCGCCCATTTTCGGAATGGGTCGACTCGTCGCCTCTCGACCTCGGCGGGCGACCGTACCGAGCGACCGGGCGACGAGCGACCGACCGCGGCCTGGACCCGTGAATTCAAAGGCGCCCTCCGGCACCTGGCGGATCGGATCGGGGCCACGGATGGATCGATCGGACCGAAGAGCTCGGGTCGGACCAGTGGATAGAGCATCTCCCCATCTTCGGCGTCGGACCGAAGCGCTTCGGTGGAACATGGGGGTCCCAGGTGCCAAAACGTCGGGTTCCAGTCCTACCGAAGCGCTTCGGTGGAACGGAGGCCGAATGGCAGACCATCCTGCGACGGACCCTTCGGACCGTGGGACGTGAAGAGACCGTGTTGGCCAGGTGCAGGTGCGACGCGTTTCACGGTTACCGAGGAAGGAAGGAGACCGGTTGGTTCGACTCGGAAAGAACGACCAGACCGGAGGGTTTTGTTGGGGTCGCCAATCGGTCGCAAGGGCTGAACCTGGAGGGATTGGTGCCTGAACGTGTGTTACTGATTGTACTGATGTCTGTAGAATTGCCGTATGTTGTCTGGAGGAAAAGTCTTGCAGAGGGTAGGATGGTAGGTAGATGTATAGTAGTATGGTCAGTATGGTAGAGGTTCGAGTCTGTGAAGACAAAATCTGAAAATCCTTTCTCCAACCACGGGAAGCACTTTTTGAATCTTCACTTATATCTGATGTGTTCAGCATCTCTCTAATATCTGCACTCCCTGCTTCCAGTAGCATTGCAGGGCTCCAGGGTGGACTCGCAGCGAGCCACCCGCTAGCGCCGCTAGCGCACGCAGGCCAATCCGGGCCAGTCGACTATCCCAACACATGTGGTCCAGTCTTCCAGTCATTGGGTGACTCTCAACACCATTCCCAGAACCGAAGACCGTACACCTGGACCTGAAAAAGGGGTGTCCTGTCTGGAGATCCCGGATAGTAGACTAGGGGCTTCCAGCCAGGTGACCCCGACATGAAGGTGCTGGTAGGGTTTATCTGTGTTATCAAACCACTCTTCAAACCACTCTTCGGGCTGGTAGCACAGAGAGGCTAACCACTCTGCTGGTGGTTTATCTGTGTATCTTCATCTTAAACCTAAACGTTTGCCAAACCACTCTTCGGGCCTGCAGGTCAGCCCCATCCAGGAAGAACTGCTGACCTGGCTGCGGGTTTTTCACACGATCACCATGGTCCAAATGGCTGGTTCCAACGAGGACACGTACACTAACACCAATCTAGCGCTTGCAAGTGAATCAACTGTCATGCTGAAAGCAAAGATATTTTCAGAGTGCATGTTTGTAAAGGGAGTCGATTGCTTTCTCTCAGAAGCTTGAGTGAACATCTATGTCTATATCTATCTCCTCTTGATCCACCGTAAGTGATGAGTTGGACATCTACTATATGGGCGGAAGTGTATTGTGTTTGACGTTCCCAGGCCAGGATGTTTGACTATGAGGTATGCTTCGCTACTTCGGTCGAACATTCCAACTCTACATCATAAAACTGGACACGTTAAAGAATACAAGCCGATATCTACATACAGATGCCTCCCAGTCCTCTAGAAACACTTGTCAATTGGGATCTTGTCTCCATCCATCTCTCAATATCCCCTGCATCCATTGGATGAAAGCCAAACAGGTCGTAAAGGTATTGGTTGTAATTGGATACCAAGCCCAAAGGGTCTAGAACGGTCCTGAGAATGTCCTCTAGCCTCTAGCCCCAAGAGACCATTCTCAAGAAGTACTTTAGCCTCCGTTCGACCATCCGAAAAGGAGGTACCTGGACCCTGTGGAAAGGGATTGAGGGATGACTATGATCACTACCACCAAAGGAGGTTTCAGATTCCGCATTGTGGATTGACCGGTGTCTCAGAGAGATCTCCAAGGTACCGATATTCGAGTCGATGGAGGACTGTGAAACATCTTGTTTCCCTTGACGAAACTGCCTCAGCAAAAAGTAAACAACATTTGTTTAAACATGTTTAAACAACAGACATATATACAACCAGTTAACAACACATCAGCAACAACAACCACAACAAACAACACTGCAGCAACAACAACAACCACCACCTCAACAACGACCCCAGCAGCAACAGCAACAACACTACAAAACACCTAGCATCATGAGAAAAACAGTAAACATAAACACATGTGTCTCACTTCTGTCTTGAACAAGTGGAACCATGTTCATGCACTTTCCCTCCTTCACGAAGGAACCTGGTGGGGAGCCCTGAGTACCCTGAGTTCTCTCCGACCTGGACCCCCCCGAAAAGGGACGACCTCGCTTTCCAACCTGACGAACCTCGGTGAGCGGGCAGGATGGTCTTGGCCAGAACGACGCGCTCTCTCTCTCTCTCTCCTCAGGTGACATGGCTCTGTCTCCAATTTTGGGAAATGAGCTCCCGAAATCATCATGGAAGTAGATGGCATGGCCCCTTTTTCGGGTCTCCCTTCTGGTCTTTTGGCCGGGCAGTTAGATTTTGAAAGCATTTGGGGGCATCTTCTGAGGTCCGGTCCCAAGTCTCTTGCCAAACGCGATTCTTCGTGAATTTATGATGTGCTCCATGAAACCCAGAAAGGATCTTGGTTTGACCCGGCTTCATTGCAGGCAGTTGTACCTTCGAGATCGCCTTCATTGTGACTGGCAGAGATTCTGGACGTTGATGTCCCGACTGGGCCAGGTTCATCGTGTTGCGGTCCAACAACGCCCCAGCCCTATTTGGGGGATTTAGATTCCGCCATAATGTCCATGCTGTTTCTTCTGCAACAAGAGCATCTGTCCTTTAAAAGCTTGTGTGCAAGGAGAGGATGTCAAATCCATCAGCCATGGGAATCGAGGGTACCAGTACCCTCTATGATCCTTCCTGAACTTCCAGTCTACATGCTGGACACCGTGAAACAGTGTGAAACTCGCCCCCGTGATTGGAGACGCTTAACTTGTAGGCTTGGAGTCCTTTGAGGGTCCGGTCATAGGCTCGGTAGCAGTGGATCCCTGATCGAATTGGGGACCTCTATGTGTGGATCACCTCAGTCACCGCAGCTCAGTCACCGCCAGAAGATGATGTCCTTCAGCCAGGGCGAACTGCCACACCAGTGAAGGTTCCTGGAGACTTCCGGGAGTCTTTTCGTCAAACGATGGGCAACTCATGCGGTCAGACACTTTCTCGTGCAAGGGGAATTCTAGTGGTTTTCAGCAGAAGTGGTACCCAATCATATTAGTGACTTAGTGGGTTGTCACTTCTATTTGGGAAGAGAAGATCCTAATACGCCCCCTGCAATTTACAAACCAAGTCCGTGCCTTCTGGATCCCACAGCGGTCGCGGACCCCTGAAAGCATCCCCAGTCCCACCCACCTCAGCGTTGGTATCAGTGGAATGTCTAGGAAGAAACACGTTGAACCACAGGGGACCACGGTCCAACGTGTTCGTCGTTACAAAAGGGATCACCTGGTAGGACTCTTCGTAACTTCGGTTAATGAAGATCATACTTGAAACGTTCTTGGTAACTACACCGCTTTCTCAAGCAGCGAAGAGACATGAAGGCTATCATAGGCTATGTTCCAACTCAGATCCACTGGAACCCAAGGATCCACTGGCACCCAAGGATCCACTGGAACCCAAGGATCCACTGGAACCCAAGGATCCACTGGCACCTTCTCTGGCACCTGGCAGAGGTCTCTCCAATCAGCTTTTCGATCCGCCCAAACGCTCAGGCTGTGTGGCACTATTGACCATTCACCCTTGAAACCACTTTGGAGTTTACGCCAATATTCCAGTCCCATGGAGTGTCTGGGTAGGGATGTAGAAGGTCACCTCTGCACACAAACCACCCCGCTGGCTGTTCTGGTCGATGGCGCACCCCACTGTCGTTGGCCGGGTTGTGCTGCTCCAACGGATAGCCATCACAAACCAACATCCTCAGGCGAAACTTCCAAACACAGCCATCCAGCCTTGCGGTGCCGTGCTATGTCTTTTCATGTCTTTTCCACTGCCCATCGGATGTTGAGCTGAATGAAGCTTGGCATGGGACATTGCAACAAAAACGACACCCTGGAAGACGATCCCATGGAACTTGAAAACCCCTGCAGTTGGAATAAAGAAAGGAAGCTATCGTCTTCCGGACCAGGACGTCAGGGGTCTGTTTCTGCCGACGTCTGTCCACGCCACCTCGCCGTCCAGCTTCCGTGGCCAAACGGATTTGTATCTCGGGCCCGGGGTCCAACAGAATCACACAATAAATCCTGTTAAGTACAAATTAAATGGATAGGATGCGCTTTTACTCAGGTGCTTCTTCAATCAAGCGCTTCGCAGGGCCCCCTCATTTGATACATTGCTGCTCAAATATGTTTGGTGCGCCTGCAGCCCTTGGGACATACTGTAGAGAGAAAAAACAACACCTGCTCCATGTCCACTGGATATCCAAAAACACACACAAAAACAACTACCCTCCCTGAAACAATCATGGAAAAGCAAGAAACGCCAAAATATGTTTTTGGTTGTTTGTTGTTTTAAATGTTGTTGCTTTTTTGATCCAATAAACATCAAAGATAATAATCGCTGAGCTCTGTGCCATTGCCCATCCTCCCGCTGAATCAGCTCCAGCAAGCACCTGGATTGGTCATGTAAAGGACTGGTCGTATATGGCTGTGGGTCAAAAGCGGGGGACCGACCGGATGACACTGAAAATGAACAGACTACCAGGGAGGTCAACCTACCAAGGTGAAATGGGCTCTAGGTTTTGCCCACAGCCATATGGATTGTGTGAGACACGCGGTTTTGGACTTTCTCAAAGAAGGACCTTCTGATTCAGTTAAATGTTCAAACATGTTCAATCGCTCTATGTAAATCCTCATGATGTTCGGCAAAGAAGATTTAGGTACCTGGGCCCTGCAAAGTTTCTCAGAAAATGGAACATGACCCTATAAAGAAAACAGGTACTTGTACCCATTTTCCGAGGTACTTTGAGACTCGAGGTAATTAGAAGTCCCCGGATCCTTTTCTCCCTTGGACAAGACCTTTGCCGTAATGGCTGAACTTTTGCCACTTCAGCGTCGCAAACGGTCCAACGAAGAAACCGGGCGAAAGAAGCTCCGATGTCTTATCTTGGGGCCAAATATGGCCAAACCATTACCTGGAATGAGCAATGCATGATATATTTTCTCACGCAAGAAAACAACATCATTTCTCATTCCAGGTACTAGTTTTTCTTTCGAAGGTGTTTTGGTATCTCTGACAAGAGGATCGTTTGTACCTTCTCACGAGGGATTGGAGGACCTTTTAGCGTACATGTGTGCGATGGTTCTGCTCTCACCACCATCCTCCAGTACCTTTGGAGTGCTCCAGTCGCTTTGATTTATGTGTGATGTATTTGGTGCCTCTGTAAGACAGTAAGATGTGCAGCATCTCAGTTGGAGGTCTTGCAATTATGTAATCACTTCTTCATTCTAGGTCTACACTCCCTGAAATCAGGTTGCGTGAAGTTCACCACCTGTTTGGTCTTCGCATTGAGGGCAAGAGCTCGCCACTGAGGCTGCCAAGTGGATGGTTCAAATGATGGGAAGCTTGTTCATCTGTTCATAGGCACACCACCGCCAAACCCCACTCCCTGACCATCCAGTTATGAAGGAAATCAGTAAATCATACATCTTTGGATTCCATAGGGACTGTGATCCAACAAAACAACACAAAAGGTTCCTGTTGGAATACACTGGTGCTTGGTCAGTCACCCCCACGACGCGAAAACCGGCGCGTCGAATTGTCACCCGTCACCAAGGGCACGCTCCAGGTCCAGTGAAGCTCATCGTGCCCTGGAGTTCGCGGTGGACACATATATCCCAGACACGACCTGTCTGGGACTGCCATAGGACGGCCGATCATAGGACTAGTGGTGCCAGGGGGGGTCAATGAGGCGGAATATATGGCAGTCCCAAACAGGTCGTGTCTGGGATATAGAGCTGACTGGAAAGAGCTTTGTCTATTGGACTTCATATGTTGGGACCACCCCTCACCAATGGGTGGTGGTCTATATTCTTCTTCCAGGGTGTCTGTTTCGGACATCCCTAGGCCTAGGGAATATTCTACACATCCCTACTCACACCCCGCCTCTCTCCACAGAATTCACCCGTTTTTCAACGGGGCACCGTTTTTCTCGCGAAGCCGGCAGAGAGAAAACTACCCATACACCCGGGAAGAGGGTGGAATATATGACTGGCCCTAAGAATCCTTGGGGTCTCCATGGCAGGGGTCGGACCCGACACCTTCGCAGGGGTCCGAGCCCTCAAAAACCTATCTGTTTGAGAGCCCGGATTCTTAGGAGGGTCTGGGTTTGTAGTGGCGTGTGCTTTGTGGTTTGACGTGTGTCTCCTGGCACTCCCGAGCCGTTTCCCTGGAAAAAAGGGTCCATTTCTTTCAACCAATGTTGGTGTTTAGTGGGGAATCCATGCTCCCAAAAAAGGTTTATATAGTATACATCAGTATACGCAAGTTACAGCAAATGTCCACTGACTGGGCAAGAGCCCAACAAATGCTGACATTGCATGGGGAGAGGTCGCTCCTTTCAAAGCAAATAGCAATAAGGCCAGTACCTGGTCTCAAGCTCTTCAAATCAGAATGGACAGGGTTGGAGGAGGTGGGCTGCTTTTGCTGGGTCCGACATGGTGCGCACGTCATCATGTTTGTTCAGCTACAAATGTCCTGATCAACAATCATCAGATATCATCCAAAGAGTCAGAAGTAAATGTAGAGCAACAATCCCCCGCAAGTGGACTGAAACACTCAGATGACTCATATGGTTTAAACAGTTTTAGTGTGTTTTAGTTAAACTTATACTTAAAAGAAACAATCAAGGTCGAGTCATCATGTTTGTATCTGTTTCGTCACCCTTGGTGACCGAACCTTGATCCCCAGGCAGTGCCCGTGCAGGCGCCGTGCCGGTCCACCGACGTGGAGTGGCTCCGACGTTCCAACGGGTGAGCCCAGTGATCTGACCCTACACCTAGTGATCTGACCTCCGTTTCGGTTCGGTGGGTTGGGGTGGGTTTTTTGGGGGTCTAACCACTGAACAGGAGCCCCAGGGTGAACAGATCTTCAAGCTAAAGATGGACCCAAACCGAGCCAAGGAAAGGGTGCCCAAGGGAGTGCATTAACCACGCCTTGGGGGTCCAGGAATGAATCCTGCATCTAGATTCTAGATGATCTGCTCAATATCGAATCAAGGCAACTTTAACGATGGGTTTAGGTTTCAGAAAAAGGACCTTAAACAGCCAAGCAGCTAAACATGGACCTTAAATGAATCCTGGTTCATTTAGATGATCATCTGAGGATGGGTTTCTTGGATCCTTTCCATCAAAAGGGCGCTCTGGTATCCCCTTGCCACCGTCGGCAACGAACCCCCCCTCGGTAGCCCTGCGGGTGGTGCATCGAGAGGAACCCCATCGATCCAAATCTGCTGCTGAGGCCTCGGCCGCGGTTCGCGTGCCCCGCGGTTCGCCCAGCACGGCCGCGGCGCAGCGCAGCAACCCGCGACCCGCGGCCGCGGGCTCCGCTTCGGGGGGTTCTTCGCTGCCATGTTCTGAGCTTTCCAGTTCACCTAAAAGGAGTACACTCAACACTCCGTATACGCTGCCTGAGAACCATCCATGGAACTGGACTAGTTTGGTATTCGGAACATGCCCAGGTCATCCTTTCGAGGCCATGCCCTCCTCCTCCATGATGGCTTTTTCAGGGAGTGTAGAGTCTCAGGAAAAGACAGTGGATCCCTCAGCAGGGCCTTGTTTGTTAACCCGACTTCCTCGTAACTACTCGTCCCACGATACGAGCATGCTCCTACAGCCTACAACTCTCAACGTTTTGACGAAACAGATTGCCAAGCTAACAAGTTAACGCCATCTCAGTTCAACAAAAGCTTTGAAGACCACCTACTGGGCAGGCTGGATGAACATGATAAATGGATGTTCCACCAGGCAACATCTGGCGATGAAATGATGTTAACAGCATTAGTACTTAGTACCGAGTACCCATGCTTCCGAAGTACAAACGGGTCGACTCCAGGTCTTGATCCACCTGCCATGGGGAAATTCCAACCAACGACGCCAGGTCCTCCTGTGGAAACTGTTTGACACTCCAGGTCGACTCATGGTCTATCTCCGGTCGCGACCCACCGCGCCCGACCCCGACCGACCCCCCCGGCCCTGGGACGAAGCGAAGCCTGGGCTCCGCCCCGAACCCTCCGCCCGAGCGACGTGCCCACGTCAGCGGCTCGGACCTCGTTGGACCGGCGGCGGACGTTGGACGTCGACCCAGTCGAGTTCTGGCGAAGACCATGGACAGGCGAAGACGATGTATAGCTTGCGGAGCAAACATGGACCTTCAAGGAAGACAATATAGCTTCCTTTATGAAAACCAGTGGTTTTCAGGTTCCATGTGGGGTCTCTTCCAGAGTGTTTTTTGGAAAAGGGTGACTCCTGGGGATTGCAACCAGAAATCCACTGGAGAAGTGGATTCATCTGATGACCCTGGAGAAGTGGAGAAGTTCGGAAATGGTTGAACATGGTGACGACTCTGGAACTTGTTTGCTGAATGGCGATTCCCAGCTTGCGATTCCGCGCAGGTCTCCTAAGGTGTTGGATGGTGTTGGCATGGGAACAAGGTGGGTCACTGGGAATTCCAACGACGGCTGCGAGCCATGGATGCACCTCCTGACAGCGGTGTGTCCGTATCTACGTCGGGCTCCAACTTGCGCCGTTGACCACGGCGTATAAGGTTGGATGAATGTTCATGCCAGCGACCAACACCGACCAAGACCTTGCAAAGGAAGAGGGATCCACTTTGACAACCCATTTCTGAAGAGTAGCTCTTCAAAATATGTTGGTCGTCGACGCGTCCTTGTGTCTTGCTTCGTTGCCACAACACATTTGGCAGTTTGGATAGTTGACTCAGCGGTAAACCAACTAAAAGCAGGGCGAATCAGTCAGTAAACAGTTATATAATAATGTATATCGCATATGGAGTTCAATGGTGTGCCCAATTAGCAGGCATTGAAACTAATTGGAGACCCCTGAATTTTTGAGTATGAAAACTCCCATAAAAGGGGCCATCTGAAACCCGACCCTGCCTAGTATATAATATATATTCACCATGGTCGATGGTTGTCTGAACCTCTTTTTTATCATACCAGATTCAGGGTATTGATCTCGTGCCCGGAGCTGACAAGGCATCGGGACGCGTGTCATCCCCAAAAAAACAGTGCAGGCCGTGTAAAGCCACTCTCAATTTTGACAGGGAACTTATCCCCAGCTCCACCATTTTCAGGAAGTACTTTAGCCTCTAAGACCGTCCGAAAAGGAGGTACCCGGACCCCCCAAAACTTCCCTCTGGCACTCTCTCTTGCTCGAGGCACATGATGGGTGCCGGTACCCGTGATGCCAAACCTCCACCAGCAGATCTGCCTTAGAATGAAAGAGCACGCGACAGCATCCTGAAAGACCCGACTGGCCACCAATTTGTTTTCAAAATCTAGGGTAGAACGGGTAGAACCAATTGAAATCCAAAGACCACTGAATTTAGGCGGCTGGTTTCCCAGCAGTTTGGAATTCGGTCCTTAAAGCATTTTGGGGGTGAATGGACACCCCGAATCACCTCGATTTCACACCACAAGTGACAAAACGTGTGTCAAGTAAGTTTCAACAAACAAAATACATCATACAGGCAAATTAATGCGACATCTGTGTGAACCATGGTTGCAATACTTGATAGGCAAATGGGTGCCCAAAGGCTGCTAGTAAAAGGAAGTTGCATCCAGGGTCCAAATACTTGATAGACGAAGGGTGCTGGGCCCAGCGCTCACATTCTCTCACTGCCTGCCCGTGGTTTTTCTCGACGCCTCCAGGCGCTTGATTCGACAGCGAGGCAGTGAAGAAGCATGTGGCCACGGTGCCAGAAATGGTTTCTTGCATAGTGCGGGTGGACCTCTCAATGGTGCCACAGGGGTGCCTTCTCCATTGTTTGGAGACTTGTTTGCAACAGGCCATGCTCCCAGGGTCTCAACCCATGCCCTACTCCCATTCCAGCAAATACACGTTGTTGATTTCATTGTGCATTCAGTCTTCCAAGTCTGGGCTCACCACTCTGAGGCTGATAATGTTTAGGACCTGTTTTTTGAAGCTTGCCTTGCAGTCTGTCCGGTTTCATCGTCGGTAGGCCAGGTTGAGTAGGTAGGCAACCACCATCAGTTTCAAGGTGTCAAGGGTTGGAGTTGAAGAAGGCGTGCTGGGCCCAAGACTGGACCTGCATGTAGTGAAGTCCAGTCTTTGAATCCTTTGGATGCCTAGCTCTATGACTTCCACTGCAATCCCTCTTGCACCTGCCAACCTGTTTAAATAGTCGGCCACTGAGTTCTTTCGATTGAAGATGTGCAGCACCTGGATCCCCTGTCACTTAGTGCCAGTGGTGTCTGGCGGGGGATCCTGCCTCGTCTTGGACCCACACTCATATAGTGGATGCATGTCCGAGAAGCAGATGCCACAAACGTGCTTGTACTTATTGTACTTGCACTTCTTCAGCTTACACAGGCATCAGACATCAGGCGCTTGCTCAACATCGTGCACTGAAGGGCTGAAAAGACAGCTCCTTGCGCTTGGGCTCTTGAAGAAAGCAGGACTTGATTTCCTTCTGCTTGCCCACCTTACGTTTCCTTGAAGCTGGCATGCGCCGCTTCACCCAGTCATGCACCGCACTGTACGTCACAGCTTTTGAGAACTGCAGGCTCAAGCAGTCATCATGCATCTGCACATCCTCGACGACTGTCTTCCGACCATCTGCTCTCAAAGCATCGAAAGCTGCATTCAACAGGCTGGGCTCAGCCAGCGCGACCTGCCACTCACAGGCGCATTTGTGCCGGATGCCAGGCATGCTCAAGTTTCATAGGATTACTTGTCTGCCTTGTCTTCATCTTATCAAACCCCCCTCCTGGATCACACTGACGTGGCCACAAGCTCAGCAAATGCGATGATGGTGTGACTGGAAGCTAACAAGCACGGTAGCAATTGGGGTTTGCCAAGTGTGCTGCTTTTTGGCCTGCATATGTGAAGCACAACTGCCCCAGTCCTCAACAGTCGCACTGCTCCGTGTCCCGCCCACCCCGGTGTGCATAAAAACAAAACTGCCGACTCTGTGGTGTCCTTTTGGGAAGAATAGAAGGGTCGGTTTGGTACCAGTTACCTATTGGTTGTACACTTGAGGGTATCCTCTCTATCAGTCAACCAACTAAAAGTAAAAGGCCCTCTATGCTGCCGACTCTGTGGACCAGCACTGCTCCGAGTGGCGGAGGCGCCAGCGTGGCGCTGTTGGGTGTATAGCGCTGCGCCTGGAGCGGCGTGGGCGGTGGCAACGACCGGTCAAGTAGCAGGAGCGCTCCTGCAGCGGCGCAGAAGCCGCATGATGCCTGAAGCTAACTTCAAGTCGCTGAGAACATGGGACATGACATGACCATGTTAAACAAAAAACAGGTAGTTGTACCATGTTGTACCCATTTTCCGAGGTACAAACTGAGACTTCAGGTGGAGAGGGTTTTGCAATAGACGTTCACCAGACCTCAAGCCAAGCCACTGGGCCTTTGGGGGAACCCACCTTCGAAACAAGAGTACCACTGGACGCAATCCTGGTGCCTATATCTATTAACTGTCGAACAGGGCATGTGGATCTGGGTGGGATGTGCCTTACAGCCATGAGATGCCATGAGTACAAATGCGTCTTGGATTCTTCGGGGTCATGTCATATTATGACTCATATTCCATTTGTCCCAAGGCTCTTGGTCCAGGTATACAAAAACCAAGGCTGCGGCTGGGCTGGGAGTATTTGAACCTTCAGAGCGGTGCAACATCTACATGGTTGCTCAGAACGTTCCTGGATGTGTGTGTGTGTGATTGTTTTTCTTGTTGCGATATCCAAACTTCTGAACACAATGATCTTCAATCACAAAGCAGTGGTTGATGTGCTTGACCAGTATACACTCAGTAGACCACCTCCTTGAGGTAAACCAGAAGCCTTGGCGAAGTGAAACCTCCAGCTGCGACAGTTGATCTTCCTCAGCCCTGAAGAGTATGCCCTCGGTGTCACGAGGCCTACAACCCATACACTCTGAGCGACTGGTACTATAGAGCCCTATAAATATTGACCCCTCAAGCTACCTCGATGCAGGCAAATTTACGTCGAGGATCTGGGCAAGGAACATGTTTCTGCATGGAACAGTTACTCTACCCTACATTCCCTTCTTCTCCAGCGCGTCCAAGGTTTCCATTGCAATTTGCACCCCACTGGAGGCAAAAAGGATGGAGCAGCGCTTTGATTTCTGCCACCTCCCCACAGAAATGACGAAACCATCTGAAACCTGAATCCAAGAAACCAAACCGATCACCATCGATCACCTATGGTCAGCTCTCCCTTGGCAAACAGCAAGCTTCCTGTCGGACGCCCAGGAAACTTGTGGATCCCAAACACCATGTCCTCACATGTCCTCGTTCTGCCGCTGGTGAAAGTCCAACACAAGGGGCACGGTCTCCGCTGCAAGGCGCCGCTGGCCCGGTCCAGCCGAACCCCGCACCTCGTGACCGTCCACCATCAGCGTCCATTGGCCATCGCCCAAGTACTGGCAGCACCCGAAGCGCGCGAAGCGCGAGGAATAAACATGAATAAAACACAGATGGAGTGAAAGGACTTATACAGTATACAACATCCTCTTGACTTTTTTGGGGTTGGTCTGTGGACAGGAGAATTATGGAACGCCCTGGAACGCGTTTGAACGCAACACATCTCTCCTTAAAATTGAACCCCGGGCCCTAAGAACCAACTAGCTCACCGCGACGAATACATTGATGCAGGTGGAAGCCACCACCAGTTCCCAACGAACATAATTCATCACGTGTGTAATCTTTTGTCATAACTTATGAGGGTCCATGAATGTCAATGTTCCCACTTCCATGTTGGCGGGTCGGAGGGTCGTGTATGTTTCAAGCCTTGGAGCAACGTATTCTCATCCATCATCATTCTTGGAGCAAGAACTGTTCCTCTGATCCGAAACCCGCCCAAGTCTAGCGCGAACGACAGGTCTACGGTGACAGCGCGTTTGATTGCCGGGACCCGGCCAATACCCGCAGTGGTCCAGAATCAGGGACATGACCCTACCAAAAAACATGTACTTCATGTACTTCCCCTACACCTCCAAGTACCTGAAGGTACGACTGGAGGCCCTTTGTACTTCTACCCATGTGCTCCGAGGGACCTTCCTACTCACGGGCCTTTCCTCCAGGTCTCGCAGCCAACGTCGGTGGATCCTCCCCGCCACAGCGCCTGGAGCTCCAAGAGGGTGGCGGCGGGTCCCGTGAAGGTCAGCGTCCCGGGCGGCGCCTGAGCACGAGAAGGAGCGGTGTGAGAGGAGAAGGAGGCGTCGTTGGTGGAAAAGAACCCTGTATTTGTCCTAAAGTCATCGGAAAGGCCACATGTCGTGGCAGAACAAGTCCACATGTTGTGGCACCTGCTCCGTAGATTCTTTATGGTGGATTTAGATGGCTACACATGCTACACTCCCTGGAACCAAGATATAGATTGGAGTGAGACCACCTGTTTCGTCCGAAATCGGGCCTAATGAATCCTCAGCCTCCTTGGAATCAAGGGGGGGGTGGAGGCCCTCATTTTGTCGAAAACACCCCGTCGACTCTCTACACAATGACCCCGTCTACAACATGATCCTGGGTGCACCCTCTCACGTCGATCCTAATGATAGATTCCACGTTGGCCCATGATCTTTTTGGGAGTTTTTTTTGGGGCAAGGAGATTGCTCCTATACAATGATAGATTTGGGTCTTTTGCACTTGGTTGTTCATTGCCTGGTTCCTGGGAGGTCCTCCGTGCAAGGTTGACATTTTGCCACTCACTTGCGTAGTTTACACTGTGTACCCTCCCATGATCGTAGGCCATTTGAACCATTCAACCAACTCAGTATACTGGCTTCATGAAACGAAACTCCAAAACTGCGCATGGTTGGAATTCAACTGAAATCACCACTCCTGATTGAAGAGTTCACCACCGAGTCCGCAGCACTACTATATTCTGTGACACAGAAACTTGCCAACAACTCTGTTACCAGCAAAGGTTGAAGAACCCTATAGACTATGTGACTATCCTAAAGTTACCCCTGTAGGGTCCTATAAGGTCACTCAACCTCTGTAGGTACAAAATCTACTAAAACCTGTTCTTCCCCAGTTCACGCGCCGGTCCTCAGTCTGCGCCCCCTGGCCGACCCGTGGCGGCCAGTCAACCCGCGCCTCGACGAGGGCACCATCCAAGAGGACCTGCAGGGTTGGAAGGGACCAAGGTCGATATCGCCGCTTCCCCAGACCACTTTTAGAGGTCGGGTGAAGAGACACCTTTATTGTTGCGAGAAAAAAAAAACAAAAAAAACATGCAGCATAAATATATCTCTATACCCCGTATACTCCATATACTTGGGACGTGCTTCTGAAGATTTCATCCCAAACACAACCAACGGGGTTGGCCTCTTTGCCTACATGCAGGTAGTAGAAACATGGGGTCAATGTGTGCACACATGCCAGTCCCATCGGTATCCATCGGTCATGTCCGGGAATTCTCCCGATGTTGAAAGGGAGGTTGATCCTTTCAGTGATACGGCTTTTCTACGCGTTCCTGCTCACCTCTGTGATTGATTGTCGCTTCCGCCCCACATTCCAAAAGACATGATACACAACAACACTCCACCCACCCAAACCATCGAACTGTAACTGTAGCTTAGTTGGAGCCCCCGAAAAGGGGGAGGTCACCGCCTGTTACTCTGTGCATTTGACAAGCATCCGGTCCACTAGCGGGGTGACCTTAGGCAGTGCCGAAACCGCAGAAACCTCTCGCGAGACGGTGAGACGTGAGACCCAGCTGGTGTCGCACTCCCCAAGCAAAAACTGCTGGAAGGCCGGAAGCCCTTGCAGCTCAGGCTGCGCAGGTCCACGGTCCCCGAGTGCAAGGACCTAGACATCGTCAAACGACGGCCGTCACGAGGTCACGTCGGCCTCTTGCTCATCGGTGCCCAAGTTCTTGGCCCTCAAGAGGTGTGAGCCCTCGCCGGCCCTGCGAGAGGAGCGCTAGATGCTGTGCTCTTGCGCTGTCTGCGAAGATCGCGACACCCAGGGATCAGCCCGGGGGGGTTTTGGGAAGAAACCCCAAAACGTCCTCCAAATGAAATAGACATTGAAAACATCCCCAAACACTCCATCATGTATGGTACGTTTACCTGCATTGGGGTGGTTTGAAGGCATATATATATATGGCAAACATGGAGTGTCTGGGATCTCTATATATATATATATACATAAAACGTCGTAACTCGAGGAGCCACGCAACTCCATTTGTTCTGCTATCAAATGGCTAACATCATTCAGAGCTACACCGGCGGCGGGCAAGACACTGGCCACTGTCTGGCTTGAGGGTCCCAAGCACCACACATGGAGTCTAGGAGCCGGCATTCTAATCTTCCGTCCTGCTGTCAAATCCCTCGGAATTCTGCTCTTGGTGCAACACTCTCCAGGTCTATCACGCAGAAAAGCACGGAGACGCAGTATTGTGAGGAATACTTGAGACCTGCAAAGCCTTACAGTGTCCCAGTCCCTGAGACATTCCATCTCAAAACAATGAGAGGTTGGTTGTGGCTGTGGCCATTGGACTTCTGGTTTGGGTTTTCCCATGTCATTCTGGCGCCGAAAAAGAGCAAACGTGTCTCCAAGAAGCATCACCGGGGGAGCAAACAAGCTGCGAACTTCCAAAGATGTTTATATATATATATATACACCTAACCTAGTGACCCCTGTTTTGGAGGGTCAACTATCCAAAATACGACCGTTTCCTGTCAAAAAAGGAGGTCAAATGGGTTCTAGGTGGGTATACATTGGTGCTCTTGCGAGAGGGAACTGGGGCGTGCATCTTGCGAGAGATTGGTCCGACACGGCGACAGGTTTACATCATGAGCGAAATTATGAAATGGAGGTTTACATTGGGGTCTGATTTCTATGTACTGAATCATCCATGTCAGACTTTGGATGCAGCTCTGATCAGCCAAAGTCCTCAGTCTATTAACTCATCAATCAATCCATGTCAGACTTTGGTGGATAGAGTGGATTCTCCACATCCATGAATGGAATAGTTATGGAATAGTTACTACAAACATTGAACTCATGTATATGGCCCTATACTGCAAGTTGTTAGTCCATATATTACTTGGATGGCACTACGGATGGCTTGGGTACGGAATAGTTACCTACTTTGACCCTTAAAACATCTTGAAATCATTTAACAAATCACCCCAATGTAGCCAATGATTCCAGTCTCATGGATTCACTGATCAGCGATGAGTCCCTAAGTGCCCTCTCCCCCGAATCTGAAGCTGCTCTTCCCAAAGCCATCCGACCAACCCACAGCACTGGAGCCACCAAACTCAAGTCAGTCTAAAACACATGGAGAAACGTCTAAAACGATGCAAACTGTTATATTTTCATGAATAACGTGATGTTCAAATGAACAAATTTCCTATAAATCTTCCATCATGGATCTGGCGGCGTCTTACTCCTCACCCCGGGCTGCCAAGTTGCGCGAACTTGAACCACAACTGGTCGGCAAAGGCAGGTCGGGTCGGGGTGTAGGGCTTCTCGGATTGTTTAGGGAAAATAGAATTCACCGAAAAACCTGGACCGGACCGTCCAAAGTACCAGAAAATGGGACGTCTGAGCTATTAGAACAGGTACTTGGTACTTGTACCCATTTTTCCAAGGTACAAACGGGTGGACTCCATGGGTGTTTAAAGCTCACAGAGCGGTCTTTGGGCGGCACCCGCGTTTTCACCGGCCGACCTTTGGGGCCCAGGCGCCCAAGGTACGGAGAAGATGGCCATCTCGTTCGTAGCGTCCGAACGCTCCGTTCGTCGCGATGCCCTTTGCTCCTAGTAGCTTCTTGCTCATAGTAACGATGCCAGGAGCCCCATAGTAGCGTCCTTTGTTCCTAGTAGTACGGCCAGGAGCATGCGAGGAGTCCCATAGTAGCGTCCGAACCTGCTTACAGGCAGGTTGGGTATTTCAACAGCTTACAGGTTAGGTTTTTCATCATCCAGGAACACCGGGCTGGTCTTTTCTCACCTGAGACAAGCCGGACCAGGTCATGGATCGAGCGAACCGGTCATCCGGGGTGTTTATCGTATTGAATTCGATCCTTCCGAGTCCTTGGTCCAGGTCGTCAGTGCTGAACCAACGAACTGATCAACGGTCACGTGGTCGCACCGCTGCCCGTCGTCGCCATCCCGCTGCCGTCGGCGCCGACGACACACCGGACACAGCGGACACGTTTCGCACGGGCGGCGTGTCCGAAGCGACCGGCCCTGCCTTGTCGGACATCGACTCTTCAGTCGATGGACTCCCGATGAGGTGCCCAGACAAGTCTCGAGTTAGGATAGATGCGTAGATGCTGAATCAAAGACTCTAAATCACTGTAATTCCAGAAGTCATGGATTGTGAATCATCGATCCCGAATGAGAACTTCATATCTTTGACTTCCTCAAAAGGGGAAAGCATTGGCATGGCTTCGAGGGATTTTCGAGGGAAGAAGCACGGGAAGTGTCATTTGTATCCATTTGTGGTGTTGAAAGCCATTCTAGCAGCGATGTACCACATACAAAGTGGCAAGCAATCTGTTTGGGATCATGATGGATGTGTATCAGCAATGCTGTCCTGAGAATGATCCGGTTCTGTTCAGATCTCAGCCCCCATGAAGCTCTGCCCATGAAGCTCCCATATCTGCCTGCTCACTCGGGCCCATAGATGCTCCAATCCTCCCTCGATAGATTGTGTTCGGTACCCCCAAACAGGATGTCTCCAGAATGGTGCCAACCCATCGACCCCTACATCGCTCCCAGGTTGGGCAAATCAACATGTTTTTCTTTATCTGGCTAATTCTACCATCAACTATCATCACCCGCATACAGTGTATGCAAAAACTCTGGGTTGGTAGACTACGAGGTGACTCAGGCGACAGGCCAACCAGCGACCAACCTGGTCGGGTGGTTCTTGCTGACGCGCCCATAGCAACAGTTCCAAGATGCTGGCTGCCATGCGTGGTTCATTTGATTTAATCGAAACTCTACATCAGAATATCCAGAACTATAAGGTCGTGGTTTCAGTAGGGCGAGCTGTGAACACTTGAAAGGCACGCAGGAACACAATGCTCCACCGCTACAGCAGTAGGGGAAGTCCACTCAAACATGCCAAGGATGCACAAGGGAAAGTCTAGGTGGAATAAGTGCAGCAGGCAAAACAATGCAACACGCGGAAGTGGACCACTGATCTCTGGAAAAAAATATCAAAGTGAGTTTTGTTTCACCTCCAGCTGGACCCTCCAAAGTACCCTAGACCATGGGACATGAACCTATAAAAAGCGGGTCCTTGTAATAACAATATTTCTTAGAATTGTTAGAGAGTGAACATTTTTCGTCGCCAAAAGCACTTCTGTACAACGCTTCGTCACGCCGTACTGCCGTTATCTGCTTGCCTCTTGAAGACGAAACACATCAATAAACACATGGTAGACTTTAGATATGTGTTTCTCTTTGTCCAACATATGTGATCAAAATATGTCAGTAAACAATTCATTGACCGGATGACAGTTTTCACAGAATCTGTTTTTTTTGTTTGACAAAGACATACCAAACACATCTTTTCGCTTGGACAAGGATAGCATGAAACACCCCAACAGCCCTTTCAACCCACACCATGCATTGAGTGCTTCCCATGACTCACACGGAGCCCTGAGATGCATAACCCGTACCGCCTTTGGCCACGATGTTGTGGACATAGCAAGAGCTCCCCCAACTGCATATTCCATACCAGTCAATTCATGTTTGTGAACACCTGGCGCCTGGACTGTGCCAAACTGCTGCTGACCGCTGACCCTCAAAACTTAATCAAAGCCAACAAACGACCCTTAACGTCTTCAGGCGACGCAGCTTGCTGTTTTTGAAACGGAAAAGAAACAAAACAAAACAACATCTGTGACGGAAACCCTGTGCATCGTTTCAAGGTTGCGAACTTGCCAAGCCCCTTGCCTGTGAGTGAACCGTTTTTGGGCTTCACCAGAAACACCCCAAAAAGGGTCGACTGGCTTGGTGCCACGTCGTGACGAAGCAGCGTGAAAATCGAGCACGCGAGCATCACATCAATGAGGGCCCAGGGGTGGAAAACTCAACACCCTCAAGCATACCAGCACCTTCAAAGGGGTCACCAATCGAAGGCCCTCCATCCTACTCTACTTTTTAGGGATCTTGAAGGTCCAGGATTTCCTTTTTTTTCTCTTACAATCCCCAATATAGGGCTCCATTGACTTTCTGAGAAGGTGTTTGGCAAAAAAAACCTGCCAGGGGGCTCTGTCCCGGCCCTACCTTCTGGGGATGCAGTTCTGTAGGAATGTTCCAATTCTGGCCAATAAATACCAACTCATGAATCCTCTTAGACAAAATGGGAAGGCTCCAAAATCTGAATATCCACACGGGCCACCCAAGGAAAAGTTCATGAAACAAAGAAGAGACACCAACACCAAAGTTTAGAGAGTTTTGCACACGCAAGTAGCCACACCCCATGCCTCCACTTACAGGATTTAGAGCATTGTGGCATTTGGTTGTCTCTTGTACGCTTTTGTCTGTTGCATTCCTGGAGGCAGTCATTTCCAAATAGATGGCTGCAAAACATCAAACACATAACTCATGCAAACAAATTTAAACAAACCGCTCATCGCTGTCCTCTCTTTTCTACTTGAAGATCCGCGGTTTGTCTTCCACCCCGGAACTTCCAGGGTCAGAACAGCTCAGAATCGCTCACGCGGCTTCCGGCTCCACGGTGGTAATGGACAAGTCCAGTTGCTGATCCAGGCCGAAGAAGGAATCCGACATGCCTGGGGCGCGTTGCATCGCAGGATCCGGCGCGGTCCACGAGCTGTCCAGGGCCCACCGGAAAGAGGGGTCGGCCGTTGGCCACCGGACCATGGAACCCTGAACATCAACACAGTGGTGTTGGAGTTCAATTCACTGCATTCTTAGGTCACACCGTCACACCTGTCACATCTCCCAGGTGGCAAACTCCTTATAGAGGCGCAAGACATGTTGAATTCGTACTGTGTGCCCGAAAACTGTTTGTAAGACTATACAGTCACACAGTAACCAAACCTAGCACTTTGAGATGTAAGCCTAGGGATGCTTTCATTTGAGAAGTCTCCATGTTTGGAAATGCCACGCACCCATCATGCACACCCAACAAATCCACCAGGCCTGGGTGGAACTCCAAAGGTATCGGGACAACAACGTCATGCTGTTCTGGCCTACCTCCGTTTCTGCTAGGGTAGGCGGACTTGGTCATGTTGTTCTACTTGAGGATGTGGGACAGGGGCACAAGAAAAAAGAAAACTAGTAGCAAGGACACTACTAGGTGGAGAACCTGATAGCCTGGCTTGAAACCCGTGAAACAGTCCATGATGGCCAAGATTCCAGGTAAAGCTCTGATTTTCCCTTGTTCAAAAGTGAACATGACTATGATGGTATCTATTGAGTGTCTGAATGAATACACTTATTCACGTGATTCCAAAAACATCCTCACTCCAGGACTGCGTTGTTGGACACGACTAGCCGTAAGGACCAATATATCCGGTCCCACATCCTCAGGTAGTTAGACCGCCCTGGCACCCACCCCAAGCACCTTAGAAGCGGAGGTAGTTGGAGCCCTACTTTTGATCAAATTCTCGATTCTGATCCTTCAAGGACCTCAAGCTACAAGGAAAGTGGCACAATCTACATCGATTCTACCATGCTTCTCTGTTCTTACTACCTGGACCCTCCAAAGTACCCTAGAAAATGGGACATGACCTCATAAATTAACAACAAAACACACAGGTACTTATGACTAATTTATGAATATTAATATTACATACTTGCATATAGAAACTCATTCTCCGGAGTACCTTTGAGACTCCAAGTCTCAATGTCAGTCTCCAAACCTCAAACGCCGTCACGCCGTCCCCTTCCCGCTGCCCGCTTCCAACCCCCTTCCCGCGACCGGCAAGCGGGCGCGCCCTGAGTCCCCCGCAAAGCACCGACAAGGTGAACGTCTCACCGACTTCGTCTGCAGGGGAGCAGAACCTCGTGCGCGCACCCCGTCCGTCTCAGCTCCGCGACCGCCGACTCCGTCGGTGGGTGGGGCCGGTCCAAAGGGCGCGGGAGAGGTTGTTGGATGTATGTTCGGTGAGGGATTGGGCGCGCGCAGGATGTATACTTGTGGGAGTGGCTGGAGTTAGACTCCATGCAGGAAGTCGTGGACAAAAAAGAGGAGCTGCTTCAAACCCGATCCCTGTAGGAATCCAGTCGTATCTTCTCAGAAGGTGTGACTGGACCTCTACATAACAGTGTCGAACACATCACCGTATCTCAAAGGGTTTGTGGATGTTTAGGGGATGTGGCAAGGATAGCCCGCGTACTGTGAGGGCGTGTTGGGAGTTGGAGCCTGTCAGCGGGGATAAACATCTGTCAGCAGCCTGAAGGACATGATCCTGGATGATTTTGACTGGAAAAAATGCACTTCTCCAACTGCTGAGATCGTTGAACCAAATTAAGCCTGCCCAGGGTGGCAAATGAGACCTTGAAGCAAAGTTTACTGTAACAGGACTCAACAAAGTGCACCGTTTGCTTGGTTTTGACATGTTTTGACCTGCCCAAAAAATACTAACTGTACAACATAGTATAATTACCCCTTGTCTAACAAAACACATCGAATCCATATCAATCCACTGGTACAGCAAAAACCACCTCTCTGGTAAAAATGTCTACTTCTACGGCAGGGTCTGAAAGAGGACACCCTTGGAAGATGCAAGTACATAAAGCTTCTAAACTAGCAAACTTTGATAAACTTTGCGTTTGCAAAACAACTCATTGCCTAGTGAAACTAAACTACTATGTATATGTGCAGTCAGCGTAGCAACACTTCAACACAGCAGGTTCAAAGTAGATGGGCAAACCGATTCCAGCTTGTTCAGAAGGTTAGGCTTCTAGAACTTCTTGACCTCCCCCCTACTGAATACACCAGTAGACACCAAAGACCGTAGAAAACCTGGCCCTGTACACCTCCACAAAGGGCAACACACATCAAAGAATGCCACCCTCCAAGTGAATGGACTGGGGCAGAAGGGCGCTGATGGAAGGGGAAGCTCATATTCAATTCTCCAACTCTTGCCCTATAAGGACCCCAAAATTTCCGGATCCATCTCCATGCAAGCTGCTGAAAGTTGATGCGCTTCTCAAAGCGTTGCCTGGCCGACGAGGTGATTCTGGGACTGCGTGAAATGCTTTGATCTGAAGACCTTCGGAGAATGGAACTCCAGGTGGCTTGAGAGGCAAGTTGAAGTTGACTTCCTCTCAACCGATTCCCAGTATCTTCCGGTGGCTTCCGGAATCAAGCAAAATGTTGCGGCATTGCAGGTGGATGTGAAAACAGGGCAGTTGAAGGGTCTGGGCAAACCAGTAGGTCTTTGGCAACATCACATGACCAGCAGTATAGGTTTGAAGTTCCTGCTAGCATGAGTGCCGGTCTTGGAATCCCAACGTGCTGGGTGTGTCATTGCAATTCTTCATTGCCTCAGTCTGGACTTTCAAGGGCGTACTGGCCACACAGACTTAAAGTAAGGCGACTCTTCCATGCTATTCCCTCTACAATTGGGGCAAGAAATTGCCAGGAGTTGCGTACCTGGAGTCTCAAAGTACCTCGGAAAATGGGTACAAGCACCTGTTTTTATGGGCTCATGTCCCATTTTCTAAGGTACTTTGGAGACTCCAGGTAGCTTCTTGTTCCTATAAGCTTCTTGTTCCTGGTAGTACAGCCAGGAGCCCCGTTCGTAGCGTCCCTGTTCGTATCGCTGCGATGCCAGGAGCCCCTATATGCAGCAAAACTCACCAGCCTGGTGGGCATCAAGGCCTTCTTGATCGAGACTAGCTCGTCCACCTGCGAGTTCCCGCCGGAAAGACCGAAACCCGAGAGTCGTCACCGGCGCGCCGGTGACCAAGGTCACTTCCGGCGCCTCGATCCGGCATTCCGGCGCCATTTTTCCCATCTTCGGAAGGGCGGAGCTTAGTTGGAGGCGGATTGGCTCAAGAGGTTTGGAACATCCTGCATTGATCCACCTTATCTAAAAGTTAACATGTCAGCCAAGACGTGACGCATCGATTCGGGCTTCCGCCCGCGCCCGCGCGACGTCTGGTAATCTAGTCTGGTCCCGATCGCTTCGTCCGTGTGCCCTAGCGGGTCCAAGGTCATCGGGCGATGGTGCCGGACCTTGCGTGGATGGCATGGTGCCCGTGTGTGTGGGGTGCCATGCACTTCCATGTGATGTGTTCGTAGCCATCCAGAATCCAGACTGGGTTTCAAGTGTAGCTCTCCTGATCCGCCCTGGCAGTGGTGCCACTAGCACGCAACCGAATGTCCGTGGGGTTCTGGATGCGAATGATGGGCGAACACGTCTGTGATCAAATCAATATTTAGCCCCCTTCAAGGCAGCCCTATACACTGCCTGGAACTATCAGTGGAAAAATTGCATAATGATCCAGGCATTAGCTGGGTTGAGTTAGCCATAAGCTGCTCTTTATATCAGCTTCCACTATGGCCTGGTTAAACAGAACAATAATCAAGTCCTATACCTATACCACTTGATTCTCGCCCAAAATCGTTGCATACTATAAATCACTCTTGAGGCAAGCCTATGCGTTCCGACAAATTGTCCCATATCTTTCGACACGACAAACGTGGCGCTTATCCCATCCTACACAAAAACTCTACCTGTTCTAGCTTACTTCTCACCTTGGCTTTGAACGCCAATGCGTGGGAGGGATCTCGTCCACGGTGTCCGTTTCAAGAAAAAAGGTTATGCCAGTTCTTCAAGACTACCATGCTTTTGCATCAAACAAAGCCTCCGACTGGCATTTGCCAGTTCAGCTAGCTCTATCTCAGATACTTCCCAGGCTTTCTGCCATATGGGATGTCGCAAAACGCCGACCTTTTCAGAAGATCACTCGCATAAACATCTTCCAAAGAGGAAAGCAACTGGACGAGTTGCTTAATAGACGTCAGTGGCCACACAATATGCCAATATTGTGAGATATTGTGAGTGCCTAGGGAATTCGTTTTCGTGAGGACTTATCCTCTGTTTCACCTTTTACTTAGGGGTTGTCGATTCAGGTGATTTTATATACAAATTCAAATTATATAATATGTTACATCATGTTATATCTGTCGATGGGGATCATCCTGGTTTTCCCGTCCTTCGTCAATCACATGTTCTCCTTTGAGAGCCCGAGAGAGTCAAGACCGTCAGCTACCGCGCGAGTTCGGAACATGGTCGGTCTACCGGCGGTGATGAATTCACTTCGATTCCGAGAGTAAACCAGATCGGAAGAAAGCTCGGCAGAAACGGCAGAAACACACAAAGTACGAGGGGGTAGACCGGGAGTGTCCGAGCTAGTACAGCACGTGGTCCATCAAACGCATCTGGCAGGAAAGTGACCTCTCTACCATACAGCTCGCATGTACAGACTGGATATGTCACACCACAGATTCTGTGGATGCTGACAGTCTGACAGTTGCTGCTTTGTTCACCAAAAAAAAAGTCACATCCACAACTGACCAAATGATCCTCCATGATCCTCCAAATGATCAACATGCACAACAAAGTCCTCGCTGGTGGACCGGGTTTAACGCCTAAACCCGGAGAGTTCGCAAAATCAACGACGCGAGCCGTCAACAAATAACCGCATCAAGGATCGCCTCAGTATCGCCCAGGATGCACCACCAGGAGTAGGTCTTCTTCTTGGGAAACCTGCCAACGGGTCGTGAAAGCTTTGATAACGACTTAAGGATCCAAAGATAAGGCTGCTGAAGCTCGCTGACTGCTTGCATGAAGGGTTCGACTTCATCACTCCCAAGTCAGAAACATCTCATGGTGTCTCATGGTCATGTCCCATTCTCTCACTCCCCTGACCTGGAATCGTGTCCAGGTACCTCTTGGGTCTACATCCGCTCACTCCGGCCTCGGCGCGTGAACGAACCTCATGGGCTCGTTGTCGTAGCACAGCACGACGGTGAGTTCCAGTTCACGGTCCGGTGGCACCTGACCGGTGGCTGGCACCGAAGTCTGGCTGGAAGACCAATCTCATGGTGGATTTCCTGGCTGAGCACCTAAATCAATCCATGTCCAGGTCGTCTGTAGATCGGCTTTTCTGTTCTCGTCATGAAAGTGTGCATGCTCTCGTCTCAGGGAGTCTAGATTCGCAGAGAGTGTCGAGCAATGGGGGGAACCTTGTTGCATGGTGGCTTGAACACCTCGCAGCATACTGAGCCATGGCCAAGTATGACCGACAAAGGCACGCCGGCCCTATAGCGCAAAGCCACACCTAGCCTTCCATTCGAGTATTTCGAGAATGGTTGACCTGGTCTTGCAGTCTAAAATACTCATTGTAACATCAATGATTGTTTGGTAGCGGCTAGCGGCTACTGAATCAATGGTGGTTGGATTCCTTTTTGGGGCACACTCAGGCGACTTACAAGGATCTGCAACCCTTCGGGAGCTTTGAACATGTGATTGACTGAAATAACTTGTGATTCCAAGGTGGCGGGCTGCTCTGGGCCCTGTGCTCTGAAAGACACAGTGATTGAAAGCCCCTCTGTCAAATACTATGTACTGGTTGCCCAAGCGCCCGAGCTGGCTACCCGTCACCCTGGAATATTCATGGAAGTGGAGTTCACTCCTTGTTGATAGAGGATTTCATGGTCTTCCAAGGGGCCATGCCATTCACTTCCATGATGATTCCAGCTGTGTTAGTGCAAAACCACACCATCCACACCATTTGTCACACAAGGGCCCCCGGCCACAAAAAATCATCAAACATTCCCTCTTCGCCTCACCGTACGCGCGATGCGACATGCGCGAAGAAGCAAAAGCGCCTTGTAGGGGGAGGGCACCAACTTCCCCTTGCGGCGCTTCACCTTTCCCTCCTCCGCTTCAGTGGGAGCCTCCTTTTCCTCGGCGTCCTGACGTGGGGGGAGATCTGATGGTGGGTGTAGGGAGGCATCTTCCCTACACCTCCAGTCGTACCTCCTGAGAAGGTATTGAAAAGCTGACCTTCAGGGCTCTTCGGAGGATCGGATTCCGAACATGACCAGCCGACAAACGCAAACATCCGCATAACCCTTGCTGAGCTATCCTGTCGATGAGTATCGTGTTCCTGGCTGTGCATCATTCTTTGTGGGGTCATCTGTAGAAGTGGTGGTCATCTGTAGAAGTTCTGTAGAAGCCTCAAGATGCAACAGGTCTTGGCTTGCTGTGTGAGCCTGGTCGTGATACTGCGAGAAAGGCTTGGAGCAGCTAGAAGTTTACTTTGATGGTATCACCTCTGCAGTAACCACACTAATTGCATCCAATTGCACATTTGCAATGGGAACTGTCCCCAGTTCCACCAAATACATGCACGACCATGGATTCCTCTTACTGATTCTTACTCGCCGTAGATCGCTGGAAAAAGAGTTGGGTTCACCGATCGAACTGTCTTCATCTGGCTAGGGTGTCCTTTTTCCCCCAAAAAGGTTAGGCAGTTGACCCACTGTTCAAGGGATCTGGCCATCCCTACCTGCACCAGGTACATGTTTCTTTATAGGGATCCAAGTACCTTGCCAGAAGGTGATTGGAGACACTGTTATGTAGCTTTGGGTCCCGTCATAGCTTCTGAGAAGGTATATACTTCGGGATAGGCAACAAAACGGCGTGAACGCCAGAAAAGGCGCCGGCGTGTTTGGCCGTCTGAGACGGTCCGTCCTCGGGATCTAGGATTCGTAATTCCACCCGCACGCGCAGCCTGAGACGCGAAGGTCGAAGCGGTCAGTGGTCCCAGTGGGGTCGAAGCGGTCGGAGTGGCGTTGGGTCGCAGGGGCTTGTTCAACCTCGACAGGGAGTTGTTGGTTGATGTTTTATTGGTTGCCCAGACGCTCCAAACTGCTCTTGGTCCCTCAAAACCCTAGGGATTTGAGGGTCCGGCCCCTACTTAGGAGGGTCCATAAGCGTTTGGGTGTTTGTTTCTTGGTTTCATGTTTCGGCAGGGAACATCGGCAGGACACACTTTTGGAAAGACTGTCCGTTTGGGGTTTCCTGTTGCAGACACCGCTCCATCCGCTCAGGACCTTCGACGCAACCGACCTCTACAACCTCGAGGGTTTCAGTCTGGAGACCCCACAGGGAGGGACTGCCTGCTTTCAGGTGAAGTGGAACCAAACCTCCTAGGCCTGTAGAGGAAAAGTGAGGACCAACCAGGAAAAAGACTCTACCAAGGGACCATGACACGTTCCACTTCGTTTGTTGGAAGGGTAAGCTTGAAGACTTATAGCCCTGAACCAGGCAAATCTCCACATGACACATTGTCCCCATCAATCGACGTTAATTGTGTTCCCCACCCTGTGTGCATCCTTTCTGTTCGAACGACCATGTGGAGTGAATGAAGTCCGCGTGACCCTCCCTGTCCCCTGTCGGGAGGGCAAATCACATGGGCAAATGCTCTCCTTAGTGACCCTCTCAAAGTTGCATCTCTCTGGACCGTTTTTGGTTTGCGCCCTGACTCCACTCCGATCGACCCGAAAACCGAAACAGGTGTTGGACCTGAACAAAATGGAGAACAAAAAAAAAAACAAACAATTCCTGTAAACTGGGAGTCCATTCGTTCGTACCCCCAGAAAATTGGTAGTCATATACCTGGTTTGATAGGGCCATGTCCGAGATGTGCCATTTTCTAGGGTACTTTGGAGACTCCAGGAAGATCTCACCCTGAACGTTTGGGACCAACCATCACATGCACATGAGAATTTTTGAAGTATGATATCATGGTGAAAAAATGAGTGTTAGTTTATGAGTTCATAGTTTACTAGCCCATTACTTTTCCGACCAACTTGATTGAACATCCTAACCATCATCCAAGTTGCAATTCCACACCTGCCTTTTTCTGAACATCTTCCACCCAAAAAACAAGGACACAGACACAAACAAAAATATCAATCCATTAACACCCCTTCTCACCCAATCCGACATTTCTGGATGTGCATCTAAGCACACCAAAGTCAGTCCGTCAGTCAGGGTGCCCTACCCTGACCTCACCGGTTCGACCTGTAGTTCGCCTCCCCGGCAAAGCCATGCTACTCAATACCGGCCAAGGGCGACGTCTCCGTCTCACACACACACACTTTGATAATGGGTTTGCAGTTACATCAATTCCCGGAAGAAATGAATGAGGGAACGGAAAGGTGGCAAAGTCGGAGGAAAAAAATTGTTCAACATTGTTTGCAAGTGCACTCAGAAACGATCTGACACACAGCGCGGCTGCAAGTCGCCGGTGGGAAAAAAATTTGGGGAATTGGACAAAAAATCGGGAATTGGACAGCATGGCCACAAGTTCTGGTTGCAGGTACATGAGAGTGATCAGCTCTCACTTCCCTCGACACACCATAGCTTCGTTGCGTCAGGTAGGTGTGTCAAGCCTGACGCCCCTGCTGGTCTTGTGGACAGAGTAAAACTCTTAGAAACAGAGGGTGACACACACACACACACCCGGCCGCTTTGCGGCGCTCTCGCGCAAAGCCTGAATAGGCACCTAAAAAGCCTTAGAAACAAGAGAAGAAAACCAGAAAGAGCAGCGCTAAAAGGGCAGGAGAGAAAGATAGGGGTAGCAAAAAGTGAATACTTAGCCCTTGACTGGGGTAGGGAAACGAGCCTCAAGAACCACCTAAAAAGCCTGAAAGAAAGCCCAAGAAAATGACGAAAAACGCAAGAACGAAAGTGGGAGGCAGGGAGGGGATGTATGTACATGTGTGTGTGTGTGTGTCCGTGTGTGTGTTTGAATACCTACTTGGCCGGCGGGACTTTGCTAAGCTTAGCTAAGTCTAACTTGGACTTATAAGTACTTAGTAAGTACTTAGCTTGGACTTAGCTCAGGGTAACTTAGCTCGGACTTAGGTCGGACTTTGCCTGGACTTAGCTTGGACTTAGCTAAGACTTATAAGTCCGAGCTAAGTCGAAGCTAAGTGTTAGTCTTTTTGATCAGCTTGAGCTAAGTCAAAGCTAAAGTCTAAAGCAATTTTTGAAAAACAATGAAAACCGAAAGCTCGGTCTGGGAGTGCGCTGGTAGACTTTTTTCTCTCACGCGAGCATCAACAGTCATCATCTGAGCGTCAACAGCCAGCATCAACAGGCATCAAATATTTAACACTAGTTTAATACATTGAAAGATAGTTTTTAGTTAATAACACTGTTAATACTATCATAGTTATTGCATCACAATTTAGCTAAACATATTTATAAGCAGTATATATTGTCAGAAGTTTTCTGACAAATTAATGTTGACATGTACTTTTAGACCAAGATAGTGGCAGACTTTTCTGACATTTGTAAGAATTTTCTGACATTGGCCAGAATATTGTTCTGACAAATGTCAGAAATATTGACTATTTACACATATTTTCTGACAAATTTTAGTTAAGATTTAGTTTTAAAAGGAAATATTGTCAGATGTTTTTGACAAATTGTTGTTTACATTTGCTTTTAAAAGGATATATTGTCAGAATTTTCTGACAATTGTCCGAATATGTTTCTGACCTTTGCCAAATTTTTTGACATTTGTCAAAAATGCTGAAGACAAGTTCAACACTTGTCTAAATAGAATTGGGATAATGGTTAAAGTCTTCGGGATGAATGATTCAAAGACTTCAGGATGAAGACAATGTCAGAACTTTATATCATGTGCCTGCTTGACGCATCCTATGTGCGCCAAGTACTCTATAGGATACTGTAGAAGAAATCAACAAGTGGCCATGCCGCGGAATTTGACAAAGAACACCGGCGCGGCCGTATGCTGGCTGGTTGTCGGTTGGTGGCTGCGTTCGATGCATTTTGTGTTGATTTTGCTTCAATTTTTAAGTTTCGACTTAGCCATGACTTAGCTTTGACTTAGACTGGACTTAACTTTGACTTAGCTTGGACTTATAAGTCTGAGATAAGTCGAATCTAAGTCCAAGCTAAGTCTTAGCCCACTTAACTTTGACTTACTTACTAACTCTTATAGGCTGAGCCAAGTCCAAGCCAAGTAAAACCTAACTTCTATAGAGGTTGGCAGACTTCTAATATTGGTTATAACTAGGTTAGGTATATTTATAACTTAGGTTATAGGTCCACTTAGAGCAACCGCCGGCCAAGTAGCACTCTAGAGTTACTGATTACTTAGCGGAAGCGAATTGGGTGCAATAGTTAGGGAGCAGGACTTTAGTCTTAAACCGCCCGGGTAGAGTAGACTAGAAGAGGGACAACAGAGGGAAAGGCACCGACACACAAGTGTGTCCAGTACCATTTCCCTCTGTTACCCCAATTAGAGGGGGGGTTTGTTTGGGGTAGAGAACTCGGCGGGGGTTTATTCTCCGTGGCTCGGCAGCATATGAGTCAGGAAATTCATTGGGTGAGACATGGGATTCCAGTACCATAATCCAACGAGTACAGGGAAAGTAAATTAGAAATGTGATTCACAATGGTCTCCGCGCCGCCTTGCGGGGGATCACACTGTGCACCCAAGTGGGACGACACAGCGGCACACACTTTGAGATCCCTCACGCTCCTGATCCTCCTCTTCATGGCCACGTGGTGGAGGTGCAGGCCTTGTCTTAGGATGCCCCTTCTTGTCCATATCATGCAACTCATCAGCTGGAGGTCGCTTAGTTGCAGCCTCTCGTCCAGTCTTGCTCGACACGCGACATGGAACAGCAGCAGGGTCCAGGGTAAGCCCTGGGTATCCCCACTCAACTAAGAGGTCATGAGCAGCTCCAGGTCCCAAAGGTGCCCATTTGCGGATGTGGATGATGTCCTCCGAGTGAACTGACGCACGGCACGACTGTGGGTCAACCCTGCATAGATGATGCAAGGTGCCTCGATGAAGTCCTCCGGTTTTCTCCACATTCTCTATATACCACCTGTAGTCAGCATCATTGCACCCTTTGTACCGCAGCTTTACAAAGGCTCCATCCTGCGTTGCCTTGTACCGCTGAATGAGCTCACCCACTGCCATGCCAACCACCCTGTTATCATCGTTGTATATTTCCATGGCAATGTACTGTCCAGCTTCTGTTTCGAAAGCCCAATACATGCCCTCGAAAGTCCCTTGGGACATGTGCTTGCCATCTACGAGCAACACACAAAAACTATGCCATGACATGCACACAGCTTCCCCCAAACTTTGTTTGGAGTCCACATGCAACCATGGCCTGACAAACCCCAAATCGGAGGCCTTGGCATGTCCTGTACAATCTGCAGAAGCTCCTTGTGCGCGTCGGCGCTGGGCAGCGAGAGCTTCGTGAGGATCTGCGCGGAGCGACGGCCGGGATAGTGGATGACGAAGATAGTGGATGACCCAGGAATACCCACCCAGGAATGAGACAATAAACAACTTCTTGAAACACATGAGATAACTCAAAAGTATTTTCAGACCATGGCTGTGGGTCAAAACCCGGAGCCAGAATCCCTGGTAGGTTGACCATGTATAAAAATAATCGTCTATTCAGTTCATTCTTGGTGGGAAAAGCCAGGGTCCTCCGATTGTGACCCACCGAATCCCACAGCCATATCTCATGACATGGAAAAGAGCCCTTCAAGCTGGGCCACTCTGAAGGAGGTGGAGCATCCGAGTGGTAAGGTGATCCAAACCTCCATATGGTCAACCACCCAAGAATGAAGTCTTCTTGCACCCAGAATCTCCATCACTTAGGGTCTACCCCTCCCGAAGAACTCTAGCTTCTGTGTGGGGCCAGGTCGCCACGAATGTCAACATCTGCAGAGTGCAAAGCGGTCATAACTTGGGTCAAATTCGCCATTTCCCAAAGGGCTGAGGCCCATCCTGCAGCAACTTCGCCACATGAGTCGTTCGGTCTGAAAAAAAAAACTGCTAATTACTACCTGGACCATCCAATGGGTGTCCAAGGGTCATCTCTGTCAGTATGGGGTAGTCCAGACAGGACACCCCTTGCATGGTGCTGGATGGTGTCCCAGCACCTCCCCAAAAATACCACAGACGTCGAGTTGCAACCTGCAACAATTGTGCAAGCTAATGATTTACTTCGTCCGGTCTTTGTGAAACGGAATGCCCGCTCCAAGCGTTTTCCCAGCCTTGGAGGCATCTCTTCGCTCAATCAGCTCAGGCAAGCTGTCCTCGTTTTGCCCAGCTTCGGTCCAGGATGTGGAGCATATGTCGGCAGCGAGGACTGGGATTGGAAGAATGGTTGGACTTGAGCAACAAAAAGGTCCAACATATATACAGAATATATATATATATATATGATCAAATATTCAATTGTAACAGTTATAACATATTAAACACTATATATATAACATATTCAATATAACAAGTATATCTTCAAATAACAGTAACTATATGACAACATATTGAAACACCATCTACACCTGACACCCGCCCAACCCCCGAACCAACACCGCCACCTGTCTCTCGTCGGTCTCGTCCGTGTCTCCCGGTCGACACCGGCCCAAGGCACCACTCCAAAGTCGCGCAGAATTCGGAGAGCCTTGTCCGACCTGAAAAGCGGCCGACGCGAACAGTGGCGCTGCTGGACAGCTTGATGACAAGACCCTTAGAGACTGCCAGGGCCAGAGTGCCAGCTCTGCCAAGGATCTCTAGCTTGCAAAGGGTCAACTGATTGACATGCATAAGTCATTTCTACCAGCCAGTGGGTGTATGGCAGGGCTCATGTCCTTTTGTGCGACCTGCAGCCCAAGGGTTCGGAGTGGCGATGGGGGAGTCGAAGGAGTTGAGCAAGGAGGTGAACGACCATGGCCGAAGGACCTTGCTTTCTGCAGGTGGTCTGTGCATGCGACTTCGCTGCACAACGGACATATAGAGGACAATGAAGCTTGCTTGGACATGGTCAAATTACACAGCGGGGCGGCTGACACCTATGTCCAACCATGTCAAACTATGCAGATTGATGGCTCTGCATGAATTCTTTGTAGAAGCAGTGCTTCCCCTACAGGTCCAAGCATAGCATTCATTGCAGACCCCAAGGCGTTGGCCTTGAGGGGACCTTAAGAAGGAATACCAAACAACAAACCAACCATAATACACGAAGCGAATCCATGAATCACCTCCATATTCCGATCTCCCAGCCACTCCCTGTACCGGTCACAGCCACGTTGTTTGCTTACGATTTGGATCAACAAAAAGGGACCCAATCTCAGAACACGCACCGGACTCCCGGCTCCTTGTTTTTTTTCCCGAATGCGTAGCGAAGGGTTCTCGTTTAACTCTTGGGGGTCTGGGGGTAGAGCTTTGTTCGCGACCCGTTGCTTCTATGTTCGCAACCGTTGGCAACCGTCCGCAACCGTTCGCAACCGTTCGCAACCGTTCGCAGTAGAGCGCTAAGGCGCTGCCATTGGGGGAAGCTTTTGCAAGTGACTTTTCATGGATGTGTCACGTGTCAGTTTGCGACGCTATTCCATTGTGATTTGCATGAAAATGACATGTCGCGCAAGAAGCGTGATGCATTTCGCTGCACAGGCGCAGCGTTTTGTGAGATCCTCAGTTTGCTACGCAGTTTCATTGGGATTAGCATTTGGAGAGTCGTGTTTTTGGGGTGTTGGATGTGGCCGTGCCATTGGGATTTGCGTTTCAGGGTGTGGCATCGAAGCTCTGTTTTCGTGACAAGTCTCAGCTGAAGTGGCGATTTTGGTGGATGGGAGTGTGCTCAGAACGGATCGAAATCATTCCAAACGTGTGGTGTGGTGCAAATTTTGTTGAAGCTCACATGAGATGATATTGTCACTTTTCGCGGCAGGCGCAGTACTTTGTGCGGGTTTTGAGGCATGGTAGTGTGATTTTCGTGGCAGGCGCAGGGAATCGTGAGGTTGCGAGGTGTGACGGAGGTGACATTGCGTGGCAGGCGCAGTACTTTGCGCGCGTTAGACGTGTGGACGCGGAAAGATGCGTGGCAGGCGCAGGGAATCGTGAGGTTGTGAGTTGTGGTAGAGGTGACTGTCGTTGTCTCATTGGGATTGGCGTGTGAGCGGGTGTTGTTTGGAGGGGCTGGAATCGCGAAACTGCTTGGCAGGGCTGCGTGATGTGTGTGCTCCGATGGGTGTTTCCGCTTGACTTTTGGAGGAAGTCTCGTACGAAACGCTCGTTTTGGAGACTTTGACACGTGAGTATTTGAGGAAGTCTCGTACGAAACGCTCGTTTTGGAGAGTTGACACGTGACTTTTGGAGGAAGTCTCGTACGAAACGCTCGTTTTGGAGACTTGACGTGTGACTTTTGGAGGAAGTCTCGTACGAAACGCTCCGTTTTGGAGACTTGACGCGTGACTTTAGGAGGAAGTCTCGTACGAAACGCTCGTCTTGCAGCCTCGAAGCGTGACTTTTGGAGGAAGTCTCGTACGAAACGCTCGCGTGACTGCTTCTAGTGTGCAGACCGTGTCGCGACACGAGTGTCCCACAAGAGTGTCCCACAAGAGTGTTCCACAAGAGTGTCCCGCAACCGTGTCCCACAAGAGTGTCTCACAAGAGTGTCCCTTAAGAGTGTCCCACAAGAGTGTCCTATAAGAGTGCCCCACAAGAGTGTCCTACAAGAGTGTCCCACAAGAGTTTCCTACAAGAGTGTCACACAAGAGTGTCCCACAAGAGTGTCCCACAAGAGTGTCCTACAAGAGTGTCCTACAAGAGTGTCCCACAAGAGTGTCCTGTAAGAGTGACCCACAAGAGTGTCCTACAAGAGTGTGTCACAAGACTGTCCCACAAGAATGTCCGACAAGAGTGTCCCGTAAGAGTGACCCACAAGAGTGCTTTTGAGAGTGTCCCACAAAGAGTGTCCTACAAGAGTGTCGCGCAAGAGTGACCCACAAGAGTGCCCCACAAGAGAGTCGAGTGCCCCACAAGAGTGTCCCACAAGAGTGCCCCGTAAGAGTGGCCCGCAAGAGTGTCCTACAAGAGTGTCCCACAAGAGTGTCCTACAAGAGTGTCCCGCAAGAGTGTCCTACAAGAGTGTCCCAAAACAGTCTCCCCCAAGAGTTTCCTACAAGAGTGTCCTACAAGAGTGTCCCACAAGAGTGTCCCAGAAGAGTGTCCCGCAAGAGTGTCCCGAAACAGTGCCCCGCAAGAGTTTCCTGCAAGAGTGACCCACAAGAGTGTCCTACAAGATTGTCCCACAAGAGTTTTCCACAACAGTGGCCTATATGAGTGTCCCACAAGAGTGTCCTACAAGAGTGTCCCACAAGAGTTTCCTACAAGATTGACCCACAAGAGTGTCCTATAAGAGTGCCCCACAAAGAGTGTCTTACAAGAGTGTCCCACAAGAGTTTCCTACAAGAGTGTCTCACAAGAGTGTCCTACGAGAGTGTCCCACAAGAGTGTCCTACAAGAG